GATTGGCCATAGGGTGGTGGCCATGGAGGGATGATGGTGGCCATCAGGGGATGGTGGTGGTCAAGGGGAAGGTTTGGCCATAGGGTGGTAGCCAAGAGGATGGTGGTGGCTATGGAGGAGTGCTGGCCATAGACTGGTGGCCACAGGGATGGTGGTGGCCAAGAGGATGGTGGTGGCCATGGAGGAGGTTTGGCCACAGACTGGTGGCCACGGAGGAGGGCTGGCCACAGACTGGTGGTCCCAGGTGGCCGGGTGGCTCACACCATCCTCTCTCGCAGGACGAGGACGGCAACACCCTGTCGGATGAGGACATCGCGGCCGAGGCCGACACCTTCATGTTCGAGGGTGAGGACGCCGTCCTTGTCACCGGGTGCCAATGAGGGTGTTGGGGAGACACCCAAGTGTCCCCTCACTCACCCGCTGTCCCCACAGGCCACGACACCACGGCCAGCGGCCTGGCCTGGCTCTTCTACAACCTGGCCGGCCACCCCGAGTACCAGGAGCGGTGCCGCCAGGAGGTCCGGGAGATCCTGGCAGGCCGGGACAGCGAGGACATCGAGTGGTGAGAGGTCCCTGGGGTTGTCCCTGGTTCACCCCCTTCTCAGGGGACACGGTGCCACCGTGGCTTTGTCCCCAGGGAGGACCTGTCCCGCCTGCCCTTCACCACCATGTGCATCAAGGAGAGCCTGCGGCTGCACCCGCCCGTCACCGCCGTGTCCCGGCGCTGCACCCAGGACGTGGCCCTGCGGGACGGTCGTGTCATCCCCAAGGGTGCGGCCACCCCCCTGACACTGGGGGTGTCCCCGGTGTCACAGTCACCCCCCCCCTCGTCCCCCCTGTCCCTGAGGTTGTCGTTTCTGTCCCACCAGGGGTCATCTGCCTGATGAGCATCTACGGGACCCACCACAACCCCGAGCTCTGGCCCGACCCCGAGGTAGGACCACGTGGGGGTGGGAGGTCCCTGTCACTGTGGTGGGGACAGCTGTGTCCCCATGGTGTGGTGATGTCCCTGTCCCCATGGTGGGGACAGCCATGTCCCCACGGTGTGCCGGTGTCCCTGTCCCCATGGCAGGGACAGCCATGTCCCCACAGTGTGGCGATGTCCCTGTCGTCGTGGTGGGGACTGTCATGTCCCTATGGTGGTGACAGGCGTGTTCCCCATGGTGTGGCAGTGTCCCTGTCCCCATGGCAGGGACAGCCGTGTCCCCATGGTGTGGCGATGTCGCTGTCCCCGCGCTGGTGACCGCCATGTCCCCATGGCAGTGACAGCTGTGTCCCCAAGGTGTAGCAGTGTCTCTATCACCATGGTGGGGACAGCTGTGTCCCCATGGCATGGCAGTCTCCCTGTGCCCGTGGCGGTGACAGTGTCCGTGTCACTCCAGGTCTACAACCCGCTGAGGTTCAGCCCCGAGAACACCAAGGGACGGTCCCCAACCTCCTTCATCCCCTTCTCCGCCGGCCCCAGGTACGCCGGGGTGGGGACACGAGTCCCCATGTGGTCCCTGTTCCTCCTTCCCAGGGTTCCCCCCACAAGGGAACCCCTCCTTACCTCTGGGTTGTCCCCAAACAGGGTCACCCCAGGGCTTTGCTCCCACCAAGGTTCCACCCATCACCCCAATGTTGGTCCTGCCAATCCCCCCACTCTCAGCTCTGTCCCTCTTATGGGGTCCTCCCTGGCCTTTGCCCCCACTGAGGTCCCCATCACTCCAACACTGTCCCCTCAAGTCACCCCTCCCCAACTCTGTCCCTTCTGGGGTCTCCCTTGGGCTTTGCATCCGTCGAGGTCCCCACCACCCCAATGTTGGTCCCCCCCAAGCCTCCCCACCCCAACTCTGTCCTCCCTTGGGTCCCCTCTTATTCCAGCTCTGCCCCCCTTCAGGGTCACCCCCTGCTGTCACCCCAGCCTGGTCCCACACGTCCTCGCGGGCAGGGGACCTTGTGCCACCCCCCGTCCTCACTGAGGCTCACCACGACAGTGGCCCACGGTGGCTGTCCTTAGCAGTCCCCAGTGGCCATCCCTAGTGGCCCAGGTGGTCCCTGTTTACTGTCCCTGGTGGCCTGTGGTGGTGCCTGTGGTGGCCGTCCCCACCCTGGCTGGGTTCACAGCGGGCTTGTTGTCCCCAAGCCGTGTGACATCCAGCTGGGACGACCCTGGGGAGGTCCCACCGCCACGAGGGGGGTGGTTGGGGGCACCTGCGTCACCCGGGAGGTGACAGCAGGGGCCGTGGCGGCAGGAACTGCATCGGGCAGAGCTTCGCCATGGCCGAGATGAAGGTGGTGACGGCGCTGACGCTGTCGCGGTTCTCGCTCCGGAGGGACCCGGCGCGGCCGCCCCCGCGCCGCAAACCGGAGCTGATCCTGCGCGCCGAGGACGGGCTGTGGCTGCTGCTGGAGCCGCTGCCCAGGGGCACGGCCTGAGGGACACCGTGGGGACACCGTGGGGACACCGTGGGGACACCCCGCGGGGTGGGTGTCACGCCTGGGGGGGGCAGCGGGGAATAAACGTGGCACGGAAGGGACATTGTGGTGCCATCGTGGTGTCCCTGTGTCCTCCTTGGTCACGGGACACCTCGTGGCACGGACGTGTCACCCTGGTGGCACGTGGGGCTGTCCCTCCATGACGTTGTCGCCTCCCTGACGGAGGTGTGGCCTCCTGGGACACAGGCCATCCTCCATGGGTGTGTCCCTTGGGTCGTTTGTCACCATCCATGGACGTGTCACCTCATGTCACCCTCCATGGCTGTGTCACCCTATGTCACTGTCCACATCTGTGTCCCTCCATGTCACCCTCCATGGCCATGTCACCCCATGTCACCCTCCATGGCCGTGTCACCCTACGTCACTGTCCATGTCTGTGTCCCTCCATGTCGCCATCCACAGCCGTGTCACCTCATGTCACTGTGCATGTTTGTGTCACTCCACGTCACCACCCATGGCCGTGTCACCCCATGTCAAAGTCCCCGTCTGTGTCCCTCCATGTCACTGTCCCCGTCTGTGTCTCTCCGTGTCGCCATCCATGGCCGTGTCACCCCATGTCACCATCCATGGCCATGACCCCACCCCCATTCCTGATCTCCCTTTCCATGTCCGTGTCCCCCCATGTCCGATGTCACCGTCCCGCCCGAGGGTGGTGAGGGGCGGAGCCAAGAGTTGGATGGGCGTGATCAAATCGTTAAGGGGGCGTGGTCAAACCACACGGTGGGCGGAGTCACACCCCCCCGAGCCGATGAATGGGCGTGGTTACCACCACAGATGGGCGGAGCTCACAGGCAGTGGGCGGGTCCACGGCGCTCCGAGCGGCGAGAAATGGGCGTGGTTATGCAAATAACCGGGCAGACACGCTCAGTGATTGGTGGGCCGAGTGGGCGGGGACGAAACGGTGTTGTTTTTCCGGTCACGTGAGGGGGCGGGGCGGGCGGGGCCGCGCGGAGGCCTCGCTATGGCGGCGGCGTCCGGTGAGGGGGAGCGGGAAGAGGGGGGACACTGAGGGGGACACCGGCACGGGGAGGACACCGGGAGCACATCGGGATAGGGGAGACGGCGCCATGGCGGCGGCATCTGGTGAGGGGGAGCGCGAATAGGACCGGGAAAGAGGGATTGAGGTGGGGGCGGTGACACCGGG